CAATTAGGGGGAGTCTGTCCATAGGGGTTCATTTTGCACTGGGTGGTTTATAGGGCTCCAGTAGAAGACTTGAAAAGGTATTGACTTTATCAGCTCCTCGCACTTCATGGGGTAAAAGTGGCAACTTTACAATATGAAAGTCTTCATAAAGGTCCTCCATCTGGATAAAAGAAAAAAATGGAACAGTCAAACAATACTAGAAATCAGGATTAAGAATTACAGCATTTTCTATTTCAATTTATCCCGTTAGATTAGAAAGTTTTACTATGTTGTTTCTTTATAATCCTTTATATCCTTTATAATCTTAATTCAATAGTAGGTTTAAATTCTAAAAATAATTTGCATTTCAATACATTGCATGCTAAATTTGAGCTTTGCCACAATTTTTATAGCAGATTATTTTTTTTATGCAAGTTATTCTGTGGAAGTAAAATTTTTAGCCTAGTGCAATTCCACTCATACAACTAATTCAACTAGATGATTCTTTGTATTATTACGATCTGTTTGCAACAGCTGCTATTTATTTTGTTGATTAGGCCTTCATACACACCGAGTTCTTCCCAGAACCTAGGATGTCATAATTATCGGTGTAATATATATGTGGATCCAAACAGTGTGGCCTTTTGGAATTGACTGATGGAAATTTTGCCAATGTGCAACTTTCCTAAGTGCTGTCCAATGTTTTGGTATGTCATCCACTGGGCCATACCACTATGGCTACCACAGCCATTTTATGCCATAATCTTTCAACTTCAATTTATAGATATTGATACTTGGTGATTTTCTCCAATTCTTTGTGCTGTATTCTACTATCCTCAGGCACTGTCAAATCAATTATTATTAGGTCAGCCAGAGGTTTAGATGATTATTGTACCTTTCAGAGTAAAACTGGGCTTTAAATGCTGAGTTCAAGGAAATTCTATCTGAAGTCAGTCATCCTCAGAGCAAGATTTAGTGAAATAAAAGTCATACAAAGGGGGGGATGAAATTATGAGAGAAAATATTAAATTAGAGAAACACTTGAAGGGAAAGTGGTCTGGGATTAAAAAAGAGATAGAAAACATTCCTTGAAAACTGTGAAGAAATTAAAGAATAAAAAGGAAAAATTACAGAATGATGATGCTAAGTTTAGGAAAAAAAGACAGAAGGTTGAGGAAAAAAGAATAGAAACAGGCAAACAGTTTGACAAATATAGGCAACTGGACTCTTATTTAAATATGACAAAAACCTACCATCCAAATTAGTTATTTTATATATTTATATTATATATATTTTATATTATCTAAAATATTTACAATCATAAGGGCTTACAGAAAAGAAAAATCTGAATATTCCACAGGCATATAAAAACAAGACAAGGGCTTTGACATCCTAAAGAACAGCATATCCAGAAAAAACAGCTGAAACATTTTCTGCCCTCTTCAGTCACCTGTAATCAGTCAAATTTTAAGTGCTAATAATAAGTAATGGACAGCTGGATTTTATATACATTCAGAAAGGCTAAACATTCACTGTGAAACAAATGCTGAGAATGTTCTAAAGCATGATACTTAAGCCTTGAAGGCTGAGATAGAATTGCTAACTTCTGGCTATTCAATCATTCCTAATATAAAGCAAACTCATATTATACAGATCAGGCCTGCACAACCTGTAGAGGGGAAAGGGCTGCACTGACAAATTTAAAATCACTGCAGGCTGCAGAAATACCTGGAGTGCTGATTCCACAGCTGGCCAACTAGCAGCAGCAGCAGCAGCAGCATTAGAACTGGTGCTGGCCTAGAAAAACTTGCCAAGCACTTGAGGTGCTTGGCAGTGTCTTTTGGCGCAGGAGCAGCAAATTTATTATCACATAAGGCTGCCTGGAAGACTATGCAAGCCTGATATATATTAATATGTTCCCAGCTTATCCGGGAATTTGCAGTGCTTCTAATCATACCTGGTCAAGGTATTTAGACTGTATTTTATGCCGAGCCTCACACATCTTGCAAGGCTTGTCAGGGTCAGGAAAGACCAATTGATTGACTATGATATTGTGGGTATCAATTTTGCATTTGGCCAACTCCTGGATAAGCCGTTCTGTTTCATACAGTGATAGGAATTCCGCAATGCAAACACAGATGAAAGTGGTTTGTTCCTGTAACACAGACAAGATATAATTACTTCAGTGATGTGGAAAGAAGTGCATAGTATAGTTTTGTTTCACTCGCTCTTCCCAGAACCCAATGTAAATGCTGCCTCCTTCTCCATTCCCTCTCATGTCTTATGTCATGTTTTAGAAAACAAGAGTTAATGCCAGAAATCAAATCTGGAGAACAGAAACAGAACAGAAAAAACTTCTCCTAAGCACTCTTAAGTTTTATTGAACTTTTAATAAACATAGGAAGAACTAATGCAAACTAAAAGAAAAAAGAAAAGTTCAGAAAGCGCAGAAGAAAAACAAAATTATAAATAAAAAACTCTTCCCCCAATAGCCTAATTGTCATCTTTTCAGTACTGGTTCAGCAAAAAGTCCATTAGGAGTAGTGAAAAATATTGAACAAGCAATTTATCCCTGAGCAAATGGTCCAACTTTATAGTTCTTGTTTTTGCTCTTCACAATTTTAACGTTTGAGTCATTCCAGTGGCATCGTAGGATTTGATCTTTCATCAATCTCTGAGATTCGAGTTTTCAAATCTTTCACCAGCTTTATTCAACTTTATAAATCTAGCAACCTAGAACTAAGGAGAAACTTCCTGACAGTTAGAACAATTAACCAGTGGAACAACCTGCCTCCAGAAGAGGTGAATGCTCCAACACTGGAAGTTTTTAAGAAGAAACTGGACAGCCATTTGTCCGAAATGGTATAGGGTTTCCTGCCTGAGCAGGGGGTTGGATTAGATGACCTGCAAGGTCCCTTCCATCATCATCATCATCATCATGATGATGATGGACCCTGAGAGGTTCCTGACGGAGCTTGGGCCATATCCGGAGGATCTGGTCCACGACTCGGCGGAAAATCAGGCGGCGGCTTGGGAGACAACTGCCGCCGCAGCACTGGACCGAGTCGTGCCTTTGCGGCCTCTGACCCGACGTAGATCTCGATTGGCTCCCTGGTTTACCGAGGAGCTGAGAGAGATGAAACG